GAATCTCACAATGGGAAGTCTTAGAACTGCTCTGCCCAGCTTCCAAAAGAGGTGTTGAGGATACTCGCCGAGGGTCACGGCTCATGTCTGCGGGCAATAGACAGCTCTGGAACTCAGAGTTCTCAGGTTCTAGTGTGTGGCTTAGAGACCAGCTCAAGAGCATTTGGGAGCAGTCTTCTGTGGGGAGCACTTCAATGACTCTTGGTAGTTTCAGCTTCCATCAGGCTCACCTCTGCCGCACTCTAGTCAGGAAAGTCAGTGCCAATTGCCCTCAGAGCATCATTTCTCCAGATCACGTGGTGGAGGCTCTTTTCCCCACGGCATTAATCCTTTAGCAGCGACCCCAGTGAGACAGGGCCTGCATGACTCTGCTCCCAGCTGTGCCTCTAGCAGACATTGGAAAGCCAAGCTTTCAGTGTGAACTCACCAGCCATAAAAATGTCAGGTCACCCAACAGCTGCTGCACCTCCGGGTCAGGTATCGCACATTCAAGGTGGTGGGAGAGGACTGTTTCCTGCAAAAGGCATTTTAAGAGAATTCCTAATAATGAGGCCATTATGATGGTGGAGTAACTCATGAAGCTGGTTTGAAGGAAGGCAGATAGACAGGGAGGGAGGAAGGACAGGCTCTTTCTTCTTGTGAGCCTTCTAATGACAGCCAACTTGCAGAAACTGTCGTAAACTGGAAATCCTAAAGGCTTGTCATGCGAACTGCCAAAGTGGGATGAGCTCACCAGTGACCAGCCTTTCCTCTTATTTCTAGCCCCTGGCGTCTTCAGTGAAGAGCTAGGGAATGGACAGCAAAGTCCTATTGGTCTAAGAGAGGGGGTTTTAGAGACTGGGCTGAAGTCGAGAAGGGTGGCGGTCTGAATGGAAGTCCAGGGAAGTATAATGAGAAGCTACCCTGTTGGGGTGTTTTTTGGAGATATACCCAGATGTGAATCAACTGGGGAAGTCAAAGGGCATCAAAAGTCATCAAAGGGAGTCAAGCTGAAGGGGATATGTGCAAGGGAGTAGGGCAACTTAACCTGAGGTAGGGAAGTTTCCGGGCCATGCTTACAGGGACTTTTATCTTTTTAAGCAGCTGGTGGAGGCCCTCCTTCTCTCCCCTGTGCCTGTCCTCCTAAGTGATCGCTCAGCATCACAATCATCTCTCTGGACACCTTCTCCCATCCTACGAGAGTCAGGGTGGCCCCTCAAATCTCATTAGACTTAGGAAAGTTTCTCTACACCAGCGGCAGGGGTGAGGGGAGGGGGCGAGGACACTAACAAGAGATGCTCACCAGCGCAGGGGTATTGCAGATTCCTTTGCCACAGAAATGTTCCCCTATGACCATAATGGGTGTAAATGAAATGGGAGATGGTACTGAGGACCAGTAAAGAACTGCTTCTTCCTCCTCCCAGTGAAAGAAAACACAGGCACAGAAGCAGCGAGAATAAATGTTTTATTTAAATGACTTGGGAAAATTATACTTAGGAACTTCTCTCTTTCCCATGAAAAACAAAAACATATCAAGGTTTGATTAAAATAAGGATCTCCATTGTCAAAAACCCCTAGTGTGCAATTCTGTGTTCATGTTGTTTGTTTGAAACCATGGAAACACAGTTGATTGCAGTAGACAAAAGCATGTCAGGGAAGAGAGCAAAGGTTGGAGCTGATGTTTTCCTTACAAGATGGATAAAAAGTAATTCTGATTGGTCTTTGCTATGGAAAACATGAAAATCCTTATAAACAAGGAATTCTTTCCTCTAGGGGTTCAAACTTTCTCCAAGATACAGAATTTATAGATTTTAAGCCATCTCTTACTTATGGACTCAGCAGGGTTTTAGACTTTAGTAGAATTCGTACCGATAGGAGAAGAGGGATCTAGAGATGTAAACCAATATACAGACCACATGGAGAAAATGAGCACTTCACTCAACATAGCGATGGTCCACAAACAACTCGGATGCAAGAAGCCCCTAGAACCCTGCCTTTACCTCGCCCCACACAGTCCGGTGGTTCTCGAAGTGAGTGCTGTGGAACCGAATGGTATCTAGTAGATGTTAAACTTTGAGAATTCTTAATTTAGGTTTTCCATTTGATAGGAAATCGCTGATGTTATTGAAAAAAAATCTCACAAAAAATTCTCCCTTTCAGAACTCAGTCTTTTGAATAATTGTGTCCAAACCAGTTTAATAAAGATTATCCTTTTGCCTCACATAAACCTGTTAGGTTATAGAAAAGGGGCAAAGTCCTGGAAGGATCGAATAGTTTCACCCCCAAACAGAAGCACATTTTCCCCAGTGATGATTTTTTTGGGGAAACTGAAGTCATGAAAGTAAATATAACGATCTGAAAGTTTCATGTTTTTCCCTATTTCTATCAACACATCAAGGGCAACTGAGGGTCTAGGTGGTTCTGTATGTAGCTCCACACTCAAATGTACAAACAGGCAGCAGTACATTCAGTTTGTGGGATGGAAAATAAAATCTGACATGCAGAAGGATCTCTCCATTTGAATGCCAGTGTAAGAGAACAAAGTAGCCTTTGGATACCACGCAGTACCCAGTGACTAGAGAAAAACAAGATGGTTAGCAACTATAAGAACATCATGAGTCCATTCCAAAGATCAGAAAGGCCTGGGTCCTCTATCAACCATCAGGACGATTTGTTTTCAGCTTGACTTCAGATTGGGCTGAGGATGGCCAGGCAGCCAAAGTGATGTGGGGCCAAGAGAAAGCCCTAATTTTCAGAAGATATAACACATTTCTTGTTGTATACAGGTAACACTTCCCATATTGACCTATATCGTAAATTAATTTTTAAAAAGGAAATGCATCAAAATGAAAAAGGTTTTGATTCAAGAGTCGATTCTTTTCTATACCTCCAGTTGAATAATTTCACCAGTAGCCCCACCACGAAACTATAATACTTATGAGTCATGCCAAGAGGTTATTGAGCGAGTTATAGAAAGAGGTAGCACAGGGTAGTCTGTGGACAGAGTGGATGCTGCCATTCACTATGTGCAAAGAAGTTTGATAATGCTGTTTTAATAACTCATAGAAAGCATATACGTACACCCAATGAATTCATCTCTTTATTGCATATTGCTATTTAAAAAAATGTACAGTCTCATAACACACATTTTTTTCTTGGTACTATAACAACAGTCTTGCACCTAAAGACTAAGTGGTTCTGACTACTAAGCTAAAAAGATACAAGACATATAATTAAGTTTACAAATTATAATGTTTTTTATTTTTGGCATTAATTTAAAAAAAAACGAAAGACTTTTAAAATACACACCCAAGAGAGAAAAGTGGCTACTTACACCAGCACCAATCTAAAAAGTAGGTTTTTTTCAACAATGGCACATGGAATTACCTGCACACAGCTTTTGGGGAAAGAAACTAAAAATGGAAATGGCAAAGAGGCCTACCAGGATGGCCATATCAAAATGAGGATGGCGAAAAAGGGCGAGAGGGACATGCTACACAAACCTGCTACTTTACGTGACTCTCCCTCCACGTGTCCATTCCTTAAACTGTAAAACAAAGCCATTTTCTTTGTTTTTTGTTTGTTTTGTGTGTGTGAGGAAGATCAGCCCTGAGCTGACATCCATGCTAATCCTCCTCTTTTTGCTGAGGAAGACCGGCTCTGAGCTAACATCTATTGCCAATCCTCCTCCTTCCCCCCCACCCCCAAAGCCCCAGTAGATAGTTGTATGTCATAGTTGCACATCCTTCTAGTTGCTGTATGTGGGACGCAGCCTCAGCATGGCCGGAGCAGCAGTGCCTTGGTGCGCGCCCAGGATCCGAACCCGGGCCGCCAGCAGCAGAGCGCGTGCACTTAACCACTAAGCCACGGGGCCGGCCCAACAAAGCCATTTTCAAACTACAGTTCCAAAATTGAGCCAGATCAAATTTCTCCTGCTATAAACGGAAAAGAATATAGAGAGAGGCACTTTAGTTAAGGAATGGACAAATCCATCAGCATATCCCACTCCTCATCTCCACACCTTTTTTGAGCCCAGTCTCCATCTGCACCTTTAACACGGTGCATTTGCAGACCGTGGGAACTAGGGGCTGGGGCAGCGCAACCTTGCTGTGTATTTGTTTCATGTTTTCCCTGTTTTATTTGCTAGAGTCATTTACTTCCATATAATGTGTAGAAAGTCGCTAAGTTTGCAATGAGGGGAAAAAAATGTAAAACCACAGCTCTTGACAACTCTTAGAGCACTATTTCACAGCTTTTGTGTGGCGCAGACCTCACTATCTGCACTAAGCATTATAGTTTATACAAGTTATTTTTAAATAGCTCGATTCCTGTACAGCGCACACATTGGTATTCTATTCACCCCTTAATACCCCCATTAGAACATAAGCTCCTTGGGGCAGGGGCTTTGTCTTGCTTACCACCGTAGCCCTACTTATGCCTGGGACACAGTAGGTGTTTAATAAATATTTGTTAATTGACTGAAAAACTCAATTTAGTGAGTAAATAATGTTCTAGTGCAAGAGGACAAACTACTGTCTCCACAGGAAACCCAACCATAACAGGATCGATGGAAAGAAAAGAGAGGACCTTAGCCCCCCTCCCCCACTACAAATAAATAAAGCAAAGCAAAAAAAAAAAAAAAAGTAACAGTCCTCTTTATATATCATATAACTTAAGGATATTAAGAGTTGGCAGGTTAATGGTAAGCTTCTATATTTTATTTTCTAGTGTTCATTGTTTCTATTCATTTCTCCCTGAGAGCTTTATCTTTTGGACTGAAATTTTACAGGTAGCTTTACTGACACACAATTTAAAATGACAACATATAAACAGCAAACCACTTCAAACAGAGATAAATAGATCTCGGCACCTTTCTTAGTGCTGTTGACATTTTGTGCATTCACTAAGTGTCCTTTAGTCCAGACCTATAGTTACAGAAGATGCAGCTTGTCCTACAAAACAGAAAATAGAATATACCAAAAAAAAAAAAAAAAAAAAAAAAAAAGGCCACCCCCCCCCCCATAAAAAATTTTTTTAAATAACTTTTATCCCTTCAGACAATTCCTCCTTTTAGGTCTTGGGTGGGAAATTTTATTTTTGAAGTTTATATATCCATATTGTTAGGACAAGAAGCACATTCTGGCAATCTTGTTCTTTAATAAGAGCATGGATTGCATTTAGATAAATAGTGTTCTTTCCAAAAGCAATGTATAGAAATCATCAAGAGCGTTTGGCAGAGAACTCGATGAAATTAGGGGAAAAAAAATCGATGTCCAAGTTTTAAATACACAAGAAAAATTCTGACATTCTACATAATTCAGATTGTGTGCAAGATGTTCTCAAGAAACATTTACAGACCGCACTCCCACACCAATGCCAGAAATTCTAAGCTGGTCCTATCAATTACCGATGCAATGCACCAGCGTCACACTGTCAACTATCAAAAACCATTTTAAAACTATTTTTTTTCAACACCAGTTTCACCAATGAAAATAATTTCAAAGTATACCAAGCTTGGAAACTATAAAATATTTCTCAAGCTTTTTTTTTTTTTTTGCTTTTGTTTTTCTTTTTACTCTAGGGAATGTCTCTGTCATCTCTTTCAGGAGACAGCATTGTGCTTCTGAACAGTCGTGGTGTTCAGGGGAAGAAAATGAGCCACACTCAATATGAATGCATACACAAAGAGTTTCTGAGCACATACATCAACACAGATGTTTTTAACCATACATATAGGTCTCCAGACAACACTCAGACTTCTATATACATTTTTTTAATATATATACACATACATTTACATACACACACATTCACACATTCTCACACAGATGAAAGAAGAAATTGCCACTGTTTGGATTGCAAGGCAGTGTAATGACAAGTTCTAGTCACTTCAATAGGTTGCTAATGAGCTTTCTAAAAAAGTACTCAAGGAAAATTAGAAATTAAGTTTTGTGACTGGTCTCTCTCGGCCGCTGTCTGCCAGCTGGTTGGTAATGCGCTTGCGATTCCGTTTCAGTTTAGAAAGGTCTTTGTCGAACACTTCTCCTGAGCGTAAAGCTGAAACCAGGTCATCGAACTCGCCGCCTTCTTCACTATTCTCTTTTGCTTTCCTCATTTTACGTTCCCTATCACGTTGTTCTTTGAGCTGCAAATAGAAAGCAACCTCTTAGAGAAGTGTCCAAGTGCTGTCTTTTGTTTTCAGTAGAGATGAATTCTGTGAAATATGGCAGTGCTTCAGTCACACCAAAGCAGCTTCATCCATAGCTACTAACCCCCCTGCATGTCACAAGACAGGGGTAATCGAAACATGAGGTCTCATAGTAGAAGCAACGAACAATGAAGAAAAAGGATCACTACTGTGTGATTAGACTCGAACCATCTAGAATCTAGGTGAACCCCATGATAGTCTAGTTAAAAAAAAACAGCAATTGAGGGGCCAACCCGATGGCATAGTGGTTAGGTTTGCAGCTCCGCTTTAGCAGCCCAGGGTTTGCTGGTTCAGATCCCGTTGCAGACCTACACACCACTCATCAAGCCATGCTATGGCAGCATCCCATATACAAAATAGAGGCAGATTGGCACAGATGTTAGCTCACAGACTATCTCCCTCAAGCAAAAAAAAAAAAAGAGGAAGATTGGCAACAGATGTTAGCTCAGGGCCAATCTTGCTCACCAAAAAAAGAGCAATTGAGGCAAGTCATACTTCTATAATGAAATGAGAAAGTTATCACTATTAAATAGAATCAAATATTGGTTTCTTTGATGGTATAGAGATACTACAGGGAATGCTCATCAGGCCACTCTCCTTACACCAAAGGCTTAGCCTGTATCTACTTTGGATGCCGGGCTTTGCG